TTGCCATTTTCTTCAAACAGCTGAGCAAGCCCGTCGTTTTCCTCTGGCTCTCTCACTGCACAATGTGTGTAAGAGCCAGACTCTGTGGTAAGCACTGACAGAGGCAGCCCTCATGTTCCCACACCAAAATTAAGAAATTCTGAACTTAACGCTGACTAGGTGAAAAAACCTTGTTTTTAATTTTCATTTACGTTATATTTTCTTTTCAACATAGCTCTATCCAGAAGGAAGAAATCCAGAGCACATATGCCTAAGACAACAGTAAGTATTGTCAACAGGCACTTAGAAAGAGACTTAAAAGACGAGAAACTACTACAAACCACTGTACAAATGGCAATAGTGAAATATAACTTTCTATCCCTAAAGTCAAACGTGATAAGGAGACACTGTGACTGGATATAATCATCTGGTTCAGGTGCTGAAGCTAACTCTTTTGAGAGAGAGCAGAATTCTATCCCCATCGTAAAGGCAAGGAAACCTTGGTGGGGTAGTGGTTAAGAGCCACAGCTGCTAACCAAAAGCTGGCAGTTCGAATTCAGCAGGTGCTCCTTGGAAACCCTATGGGGCAATTCTACTCTGTCCTATAGGGTCACTATGAGTTGGACTCGACGACAAGGGGTTTGGTTTTGCTTTGTAAAGGCAAACTGATGGGGTGACATCAACAGGATGAACTCAATTGTTGGCAAGGAGCCATTTAGCAACATACCCTAGGGACCCTAACTGAGGCTTCTGAAAACAGAATTGTTACTACCTTTTTTCCCTCCTCAAGAAAAGTAACGTCTCCCTATAAAAAACGGGCCACAATTGACTTTGCCCTTACTACTTTACTCTGGTTGACTGGCTGAGGGTTCTGATTCCATCCTATCTTTCCCAGCTGGCTCCATGTCCAGCTGAAAAACAGCAAAGGACACAAAACACTCAAACAACAGAGTTTAAGACACAAAACATTAGCATTAAAGGCACATGCCCTCTAAAAGAAGCATCCTCTTGAACATAAATGTCCACTTGCTAACACTGGGACCTAGGGCAAGACCCAAATGGATGCCAACTGTAATGGTCTATTTCTTGGGCTCAGAGCAGCCATGTGAACTCAGAAAGAATTTATAATCTTTCAATGATCCTCAACTCTCTGCATCTCAGTATTATCTACTGCTGCCACTCAGGGAAGAGTATTCTAGTAGTAGCCCAGGTATCACACACAGCCCAGAGCAATGTCTCTATCCAGGTGAAGCTCCCAAGATACAGACAAAATATGTTATTTAAGCAAGATTTAAAATACCCTTAAATTGTCTACCCCATGGAGCGTATGAGGTGGAACTGACTTGACAGCAATGCGTTACGGAGTGTTGGAGCCCTGGCAGCCCAGTAGTTAAGCACTCAGCTGCTAACTGAAAGGTCAGCAGTTGAAACCCACCAGCCACTTCAGGGGAGAAAGATGTGGCAGTCTGCTTCCATAAAAAAAAAATTACAGCCTTGGAAACCTGATGGGCAGTTCTACTCTGTCCTATAGGGTCGCTATGACTCAAAATCAACTCGACAGTAACAGTATGGACTGTTAGAAAGACAGAACTTAGCAACCAGCAGTCCTGAGTTCTAGTCCCTGTGCCCTAATAGACTGGGATCATGACCCTGAGCCTGCTTCTTCTGGTAAGTAGTAGCAGCAGTAACTGTACCAACTGAATTGCTGTGCTGATTTAACTTTACACTGTAATACAGACATTAATTATTACTGTTTACTTAAGTAAAAGGTGACTATTCTTTAGGATATTTATTTTACAGTGCAAATACAGGAAACGAAGTATAAATGGAGTTTAGGTTTCATACTCAAAGCTATTTTTTCCGTAAGTATCCCCTATTCTTGGTTAAGATCTAACTTAACACTGGTTTCCCTTTAAAAACAAAAGGCTCAGCATACATATGACAGACAATCTAAATGCTAAGTTAGAAATCACCTGAACATAAAGATGCTCAAGTCACAGGAGACTGAAGAGCTCCCTTCTAAGAATCTGCTCTAAGTTCCCCAAACTCACACAGTAAAATAATCAGGGCTTTGAACTGGTTCTTCCTGGTTCAGTCATGGCTGAGGAAGTGACACTGAAAGTGACCTGAATTTTTAGAATTTGAGTGAACCAGAATGGTAAATGGAATGGGAAAAATTACGAGTCAAAACCCTGCTAGAAACTTAATCTCCTTCTAAGAAAACAAGGCCAGCATACGTGCTGCATAGCAACCAAATCACCTGCCCCAAGGATTTTGCACAGAGCGGGAAACAGCAGCGCCCTGCTCAAAGATGGTGGCCACCTGCACAGCTTTGAATGTCTGTGTGTCTGTCGCTCTCCAGAGTCATGGCAATAATCCAATCTCACGCATTAGGCTCCTCAAAGGGCTCACTACACCTCTTCCAAGTCTCTCATTTCAGGGCTTCGACGTGTGACTTTCCCATTCCAGATTACCCAATTGTAAAAATTTGAGCACCTGGTTTCACTTCATCAGCCATGACTGAACCAGTATGAACTGGTCTAAAGCCCTGAAAATAATCATTTTGTGATTATTTACATAATGTCACAATCTTAATTACTGCAATCTAAATCAGCATGAGCCAATTTCCTTTGGTTTAAATACCACGTTTTAAAAAATTGCAACATTTAGTCAGAACTCAGAAGTCTGAGCGACCAAAGTATTCTGTTAGAGTCACTGCACCTGTGAAATAATGCTGGTAGACAAAGAGAATAATGAAGATCGAGGTCTTTAGACGGGAAGGGGCTGGGATTCAACCACAGCTAATAGCCATTTCCTGTATTCACTCTCAGTGTGAAATATCTGTATTATTACACAGGATAGGTTAGGATTTCAAAATTAGAATGGCACCTACTAAATTCCCAAATTAGGGCTTTGTTGACTGGCTCCCCTTAACCACCTCTTCCTCCTCCCCCTACCCCCAGTCCCGATACTTCTCTGACCACCTTCCTTTCACTCATTCCACTCCAACCAGCTGTACAGGAAATGCTCCCATGTTCCTGCGTCAGTGCTATTATACTTGCCTTCCCTCTGCCTGGAATGCTCATCACCAGATAGATGCACAGTTCTTTCCTTTATTTCCTTCAAATGTTTGTTCAAATGTCACCTTCTTAGCGAAACATGTCTTATTTACCTGAGTTAAAATTGCAACCCTTTCTTTGCTGCTTAATTTTCATCCACAGCATTTACCTGATGCACCATATATCTATTTTAACTTATTAATTCCTTTTATATCCTTTCCTTATCAGAATAAGGGCTTCTGTTTTTGCCTGTTTTGTTCACTGCTATACTCCAGTATTTAGAACAGTACCTGGCAGGTAGCAGGACTCAATAAATATTTGTACTGAATGGAGTAAGTGAATAAATGAATGGGTCAGAACAAATGACTAACTATTCTGTCTGTAAGGCCACCGAATTCAAACCTTCAACTTCCTTGAAGAAAGGAGACAACATAAGATTTAGGATAATAAGGACTTAAGAAAGGATGTTATGGCAATGTAAAATATGCTACATAAGGAAAAAAGCAGAGTTCCTATGACCTGCCTCTCCCAAAGTCTTCTCAAACTTAAGAATGTCACCTGACTACTTGTTATAAATACAGATTTCCAGGCCTGCCTCCAGAAAAGCTGATTCGGTAGTGATTGTGATGGGGGTAGTCCACAAGCCACAATTCAGAAACAATGCCTTGGCACCACTCCTAGTCAGATGTGACTATGGGATTTAGGAGAAGGGAACTCTTGTCCATTTAGTTCACCATGGTGATTTTAACTGATGCCATGATACTGGAACAAGCACCAAATGTCAAAAGTTCAGACAAGCACAAGAGACAATCCTTTGCATGTGTATACTTCGACTAAAAGAGGGTGTGTCCCTTTCACCATCATAACAATTTCCTGTGGTGCTTAGACAGTGTTGGGCCCAGGAATGTCGTTATTCCAGGTAAGTATCTTGGTTCAAGGCCATTAAATCAAGTCCACACTAAGAAGGCCTAATCCATGGCCAATTCTGGTTTTGTAATACCACTTATTTACATGGCCTGTTTTGTTTTAATAAAAATCAGACCTAATGTATGCTTCAGCCACATGGAAAGCCATACCTCAGATAAAGTATAAAGCACATAACTTACGAGAGTCACAAGTACAAGCAAAAAGAAATCATAATGGTTCTGAATTTTACAGTGGATAACCAAATCCAGGAACCCCACCACAGAGGTAAATCAGGAGAGCCATTCAAAGTACACCTGAGAGCAAAGATTCTTCTAAACAAAATGGCTGCTTGCTTATACTCTGGATCACTGGACCAGAAAAACATAGGTCCTCTTCCAAGTTTGGCACTTATTTTACTGAATTCTTGTAGAGATCGGCCAGCTACATTCTGTGTCAAGGGTTGAACTAACTTTGCAAACATGTCTTCTCCAAATTCCAGAGAATAACTCTAACTCACAGGCTTTTACTCAAAGCTCCTCACTTTGCTTTCAAATGCAGAAACAGCTGGCACCTATCCCTCCAGGAAAAACATTAGTTTCTTCAAGGCCACCAGTGGGAAGGGAAGGAGGAGAAAGAATGATTACTTTTTTCTTCTATTGAACCATATGAAAGAAATTCTTATGGAAATATGGAGTATCAATGACCTCAGGACTCTTTAGTGTTATCCCAAACTATGGACTACTCTCTATACTACAGTGTACAGTTATAACAATTTCTTGCACACATAATTTATTACAATTAATGCTAATTTTAAAAGGGCAATTCCTACTGATCTCTTACAAGCAGCTCCAGTACATGAGACATGTTTTGCTAGGGTAAAATAAGCAGGTAGGGTACATGATGTTCCTTCAAAGTGGATCAAGAATCAAAAAGTAAGAGAACCATGACATCTGAATATCCTTGACTACAGTTTTTCCCAGAGAGGTGAGTGCCCTGCCAAGCCCCATAGTAAGTTCCAAGCTAGTGGTGGCTATTCAGCTTTCTTAATAAACTCACCTTCTCTCCTTGGAGTGATGGGACCGAGTCCCGCAAACTATGAAAGCTGTCTTTGATGTGGTCCCTACGTTTTCTCTCCAGTGCATTATGATGAGCCCGTTTGTCAGCCTAGAAGAATGGGAGAAAGAGCACATTAGAAATGTCACTCGTTTTGCTTGGTACAAGGCAGGTGGGGTATAGCCTGGAAGTAAATGCTGTCAGCGCTGTCCCTGGTGATTGGAGTGGGAAGGATTTGTCGAGGTGGGCAGTTAGGAGTCTCCAGATTTAGGCTCTGCTAAAGGGGGAGAAAGGTGGTGAGCAAGGCTTGCGACAGGAACATCCAAAGTAGCTCGATCCATCCAGCTCATGCGTAAGTAAAAGAAAAGTTATTCATGGGGACAAAATGTGACTCTCCTGCAACACCAGTCCTTTCTCCAACTTACTTATGTGACAGAACAGCTGCCAGTCTGTGGTTGGGAGGTGACACGGAAAAGCTCCAGCAGCCCCTTTATAGGGTATGATCGCCCCCACTGTAAGAGATTCCCATGGTGGGTGCCCAGGGAAGGAGTTAAGTCATTGGTGCAGTGCTTCTTTCCATGTGAAACCCATCACCATGAGTCTCTGTCTGGTCTCCAGCTCACTAAAGGTACTAGGTTAGGATCTTCTAGCCAAACTATACGATAGAAACTGAAACCTCTAGAAAACCCAGGTGCTTGAATCTGAGATCATTCTAACAGAGCTGATAAAGACAACAACTACACTCTGAGTTCCTGTTTTTTAAAGTAGCTCCAAGATGCTATCCTGCCAAGGGCTTCGCCTCACACAGGCTGTGCCAGAAAGACAAGTTCATAGATGGCAGATCTTTTGACACCCATAGGCTCTGAATAAATTTCCTCAAGCACCTGTGGCAGGTCATACTGATTTGGCATTTTCTAAATGTTCACAGACCAACATCTTTATCCTGGTCCTGCTCAGAACCACAAAGAGGAACAGTCAGCTGGACAGGGAGGAAGACTGCCAACAATCAGGAATGGCAAAATGCACTGGAGCTCCAGGCAGAAGTGACAATGCTGGGAGCACTGGGAGACTGTTCAGTGGGTCCTCGTTAAAGGGAAATCTCCTCTAAACACAACACAAATGCTTACTTAACCTGAAGCAACAACTTAACCACATCTACACTTTGGGAGTTATGGAAATAAAGATACTCTGAGAATTTACCCTGAATATACAAGGCTGCACTGAGTTTACCTAAAGAGCAAGTCTGTATGGGAAGTTCAAGTAGCTTTAATCTACCCAGACAGAGTACCAGGAATTTTAAAAATGAACCAACAGGAGGAAATACTTGGCTTAGCATCAGAATAATGCTGCCTCAAAAGAATTCCTGTATTAGACAAGATGTACAGACAAAAATCCAGACAGGAATTGTAGAGATGAAAAGGACCTGAAATTCTCATATTATCTAATCCAAAAAGTCTAAGTCATTACTGAGGAAGAGGAGGTTGGGAGTAGCTGTGGTAATTTTAGTTACTTGCTGGTCTTTCAAGCACAACACCTCACCTACGGCTCTGTTGAATCTGACACAGGGTTCCCATCACGACCTGGTTCTCCACAGCATATCACTCTTTTCCAGGGCAGGGGCCTGCAGCATTTCTAAAGCTCTCCTTATCAAGTCTGATTCCACTGTAAAATGAATGTTTACTGAACCATCATGACATATGGAATATTATGGGGAAATTGAGGGGACAATCAAGCTAGAAACAAGAGACAACCTGAGGCTAGAGAGCTACTCTGCATCATACGACTTTACAGCAAGAAAACGTCCGATGCCTTTTCAGAGCCATATGAAATAGCAGCATAAAATATGAAGGCATTAAAGATATTTAAGTACCCAATCCTTTTCTTACTTCCTGATCCCTTTAGTCATCTATATACAGGTAAACTGGGCTGGGTTCTAACTTGGACTGTAACTAAACAGCTTAGAAAGTTGAGGGATGACATTTGGCAGGTATCAAGACTCTCCTGCATTGGCTATATACTTCCTTAAGGTGGCTTATTTACATGCAAATTAATGGCCCAGCTTTCATCTCCAGCAGTGGCCCAAGATACTCCTGACTACTAAATCACCCCATTCCTGGCCCTCCTACCAGGTGAAGAACTGTGCACAAAAGCAATCACACCAGAGTTACCCACAATCCCTCTTGTTGATACAAATAAAATTCTAAGTGTCTGTTTTCTTTTTGGGAAAGACCTGCAAATCTCAAAATGCTAGAATTGAGTTGGACTTGGTTTCACTCAGGCCTGCACTAGAGGGGTGGAGCTAAGTATAATCTAACACCAAAATCATCCCCACAATGCACTACCTCCTTCCCATTCACTGAGCCCTGAAAGGACTCAAATGGGCAAGTCTTTCGGTTAGAGGATTGTAAGTGAACTTGGCTGTGGACCATCAGCAGAAATCTTGGCTTCTCATCTGGGGAGCCAGCCAAGTTTGAGAAGCTGGCTCAACAAGGAAAGGCAGCAGTCTACTGCCTGGTAGAAAGCCTGGGCGGGAGACTGTTCTCAAAGTAGTGGATGGAATTTCTGTGGTGGTTCCAGGCCCAATTTAACTAGCAGAAGAATGGAATTTTAGACCAATCCCCGCTGCCATGTCCATCCCAGAGCTGCTACGCTTAACCAGTCAGTTTTAAAGCTCTCTGAGACAATGACAAGGATGTATTTTTCTCCTCCCTACCCCTCACTTGAAAGAGCAAGTTAGAAATACGCAGAACTAACATGTCTAATTCCAGGCAACTTTGAACTTAATGATACACTATAGTGGCTTGAAAGAGCATATGGAAAACCTTTACACAAGGCTGAGAATTCAGTTTGAGAAACATTTCCAAACCACAGATCTATCCAACCTGGTAACACTGCTCCCCCACTCCTCATTCAAATGGAGGGCCAGTTGCCAGACTTATCACTGCCTTGTTAACTGTCTTCACTTGCTGGCAACTCTTTTTGAAGGGGCCAAGACTTCAGAGCTGAGAAAGAAAAACTGGGCGAAGACTTCCAGTGTGAGACATCTGAGATCCTCCCATAAATTCAAAACTGATTTAAAAAAAGGGAGGGGGGCAAACAATTGTGTCTTGAACAAATAAAGCTCAACTCAGATGAGCCAGCTTTCTCCTTCCTGTACTGAGAAAGATGTTTGATAATGAAAACGGGTGGTACTGAAAGCACCCTTGTGGAATTAATTAAGCACTCAGGCACAATTCTAGGAGACAAGGTATTCTTGTGCTGTACAGGAGGCCCCCAGATACCTCAGGTACACAACCTATAAGGAAGGGCTTTTGCTTCAAGTACACCGGATTTGCAGTTTCTACCAGAAAACTCTTCCTTCAGGGCATCTTAAACTAACACAAATACTGACTCTGCAATACTGAAGAGTGGCTCACAGATGCACAACAGGAACTCCAGCACCAAATCGCTTCCAGCTTGGCCATTTCTGCCAAGGTTTTTATTCAGCCTGAGTTTTATTTCCACCAAACTTTCCACACTGGCAGCCAGAATAAAAATCTTCACCTACAATTTGTCCATCTCTGACACTAACAAGCACGTGTATCTTAAGGGTTGTTAAATGCTAAAAGCAAATGTTATTCTGTGAGCCAAGAAGTTGCTAAACTGGTAGGAGGTCATCTAAGTTAAACAGGTCTTCTCAAAATTGAGGGAAATCTCTTTAAATTATTTCCTTCCAACTTATTGCATAGAGAACACATCTTCATTCAAGGTATGACATCAGTAAGCAGCCTAATTTCCTGCAAGTTCTAAGCAAACAGCGTGGGGAAATAAATGCTTCATTATTTAAGGATGCACAAGGCTCTCCACAACAATACATTTCATGCAGATTACCTGACACCAGCCTCACCCAGTTGGAATCTTTTCAATTCCAATATAGAAAATTCTCAGCATACAGAGAACTACAGTTGTTCACTAAACATTTATTGCCTTTAAGATTCATTCTAGATGGAAGGTAGTATTGCTTAGGGTTATTATCAAGCTATTCTTATTAAACACTAATAACCTTAACACTGGAAATACACAGGCCCAAAATTCTCATCAGAAAAGATCTATTTATTCTATCTGGTGGATCAGGACCAGATAGAATAAATAAAACTGAATTTCTAAGCAGCTTAAAACATTCATTTTAAATAACATGAAACTGCAACATGAAATAACAGGCAGCCAGGAGGAGATAAACTCACTAACGACTGTAAGAGAAAATTATTAATTTCAATTTCCCAATCCCTATCCTGCTTGAAGCTAAGACATTCCCAACATCATCTAATGAGTAAGTTTGTGATCCAGATTTTGTCTATCACGTGGTGCCTAAAAGAACTTGGGAACACTATTATCAAAATACGCCATCAAACTAGTCATTTAAGAGGAAGGATGCCTTCTTCGATCAGGAAATTTTAATTAAAAACTGAGTTGGAATCTTTGATCAACTATTTCACCATTACTGGCATCTTGAAAAAAAAAAAAAAAGAATTTTTAAACATAATACCCTTTGCTCTACGAAACAGGCACACTTAGAGACCAAACCTGACAGTTCTGCATCATTGTCAACACTCTAAGCAGAGACAAAGTACATGCATCATGCAGCACTTTTGCCATTCAACTGATTCCAGGTAAAACAGCCCCTCAATTCCTGGGTGGATTCCACTCTCAGAGGTGACCAAGCTCTTTTCTTTCTGAATACACTGCACTTCCTAAAGAAGCTAAGAGATCTGAGAAGTTAAAAATATGTCACAACAGTAATGTACAGAAGTAGAATTGCACAAATCTGTTTTTAAATCTCCCACAGGTATACTCTAACTCCAACACATTCAGCTGCCATGAAGGGCAGTATGTTGGAAAAGGCCTTGGGTTTCTTTCACTCTTTCCAAAAGAAATTTCCCAAACAGAAACAAAGCAAAAGGAACCCTTTGCATAATATATACCTGTCCCAGAAATTTATCTTTAAAATGCAAGCTTTTCCCTCCAAAAAATAATAAAAATAAACAAAATAGCATCAGTGGGATTCTGTAGTGTTTGAATTGAGTAATAAAAATTGTTTGGGGTTACCTCCTTTAAAAAAGCTTACTGGAGAAGCTGTTTTCCGTTTGCACTGAGGCAACAGAAAAAAATATTCGTCAAAACAGTTTCACTTTCTCTTACGGTTAGCCTTACCTCCTAACTCCGTTCTTGCTGAGTATCCTACATTTCTTATGTAGTAAGGTTGTACTTACTGTAGTGAGGTTACAAAACACGAATGTCTCTTTTTATATTAGGACCCACAGAACTTTTTCCAAGTAACTTTAAAAGTTGGTCTACAGACCTAAATATTAGGTTATTCACAGTCCACACCCTTTTCTGAACATTTTTCCTAAGGTAAAGCTTAAGGGCTCCCCCTGCAAAATTTTAAAAATATATTTATTATCTATACTGAGTCTCAGAGAGTAAAGAGATGTACTCACAAAGGAAAAAATACAATCTTTTTTACCCTACTCATTCACAATAATTATTTGACATACTATAAAATTAGCCTATAGTACAACTCTTTTTTCTCCATGCTGTTGTGATTTATCTTAAAAGTCTTAACAAGTATATATGTCAAAACAAAAACAAAGGGTCTAACCCACTCCCCTTACCTACCCCCAAAATCAAAGGGAAAAATCCTTGGCACCTTAACACCAAATTAAAAACACCTAGGCAAAACAATGAGATTAGCATTCTAGGAGAGTGAAGACATTTTAATAATTTAATAAATAAGTTTATATCAACACCCACGTAAATGAACATTTTGAAAAGCCGAAAGCTTTCAAGAAACTGTGAGCCAGAACTTCACAAAGAAGAAAACTTTTCCCTCACTGAAAAGCCAAAATAATTCCAATTCAATGGATAATTCTGCAAAGGAAGCCTATGAGAGCTCTAGCCAATCCCTACCCAACAACCCTGATCAGGCCCTGGGGCAGATCTTAAAAATGGAGAGTTGGAGAAAAAATGTTTTAAATAGGCTGGGCCCCAAACATAAAATTTCAGTTAATGTAAACAGACTCTACATTATTAGGAATAATAACAACTAAAAAAAGAATTCAATTTTCAAATACATGTATAAACACAAGTATGTGGTGATACTTCAAAGAGAACTAAAGCAAAACAAATTCCTGTTAGTGACTATTTTCCAGAAAATTTTTTAGGACTGCTGGGACAACTATATCCTTTGGTTTTATGGAAATATCAGTTCTTAAAAGTAAAACTTTGCTTAATGCTCATCTACTTGGACCACTTGCAAAATCTTTGCTTGCTCTAACAGCAGGTACAAGAGCGTTTGCCTTTATCCTGTGGTAATTAAATTCTTATACCAGAAGTATCAAAGTGGCATCCTGCAAACTCTAACCAATGCCTAAAACAGCCTGAATGTTCTACACATCCTTTTAAAAATCAGAATAACATAAAAATCCAGATTCCCTATCTTTCTTAAAAAAACAGAAAATCTGCTAGCACTGAATTCTCACTCCTACATAGTAATAACCCACTGGACTTGAGTAGTGGTTGCCTTTTTAGAAGAGGTATGTGCTCCCCAGTACCCCAGTCCTCATTTCTTCCCACTGCTTTATTCTATCTTGCTGTCCAGCCCCCACAACATTTGAATTGCTAGCCCCTATTCTATACCCTTCCTCCCAACTGTCAAATATTAGATACTCTGATATTCTTATGTCTTCACATCTCTGATTCTGATTTTTTATCTATTCCCCTTTTCCCCTCTATTATTCACGGAACACCCACAGTACTGGCTATGTCTCCAAAGACATGAAATTAGTGTCTACCTAAATCCACAGAACCATCTACTAAGAATACTGGTATCAAAACGCTGAGAAATTACGGATAACACTGTATGCACTCATCCATCACCTCTTAGCAAATTTGTCTCCTCAATGCCACGTCTTCAACAATTTTCCTATTTTTTTTACACCACTCCTTCAACTCAAATATAGAGTCAGACTACAATAAGCTGCACGTGACACTTTCATATTCAACCTTTGGCTCCTCTACATTTCCAAATTTCTTCACTAGAGTGCCAGATTCTACAAATCTACAGCAGTCACATGACTTACGGTTAAAGCTGACTGCATGTGGCTTCAGCTTCACACAACTATGCAGATATTGTTTAGAACTTACTTGTTCTAATCTTCTGACCACACTGCCCTGAAATAACGCTACAGTAATAACACAGAATGCTGTATTTCTCCTTTCCTGCTTGTATTACAGGGGCTAGATTCCCCAATCTGAAAACTACTGAGCGATTCCTTTCTCGCATACGGCTCCTCCCACTCAGTCACTGGAACCTATACCTGAGAATCTAGAATTATGAGATCTGCAATCTTTCCCCCACCGGGAACCCCCAGAACAAGGCCCCACCTCACCTTAGCGGTTAACAGGAAAGTTTACTACAATATTAAAAGTAATAGAATGATCTCTTTTTTTCTCTAAACCCCAAAAGTACTAGAATTGAACGGAAATGAAAATGAAATGGAGAGTAGGAGACGTACCGCAGATTGAAACCTCGGTTGCTCTTCCTGAAATAAGAGAAAAAAAAAATAGAAAATAAAGACGTTATTTTTACACTTTATGTTTCATAATTAGAAAGAAAATGCCAGCGGCAGAGGAAGCGTCGCGGGGGTAGTCAGTCCGACCCCCCTCCCTCCCTCCCCACCCCTCAGGGGGATCCGGCAGCGGGGCAAGGGGTCCGGAGCGCGGCCCCTCCTTCCGGATCCGACCGGGGCCGGAGGGAGTCCTGAGCACTGTCTCCTCCCCTCGGACCCAGCTCGGGGCTTCTAGACACTCCCAACCCCTCTATGCCCACCTTCACCCCACAGGATCCGCGGGTCACGGGAATAGGGGATCGCAGACCAACAGGGCAGGTCCTGGGCACCGTCCCCTTCCCCAGGATCCGGACAATGGGATCCCGGGCGCACCCCATCCCTGTTCCCTGTATCTTGAGAGGGATAGGGTGGGAACGGGCGGCCGCAGCACCCTACTCCTCGGGGGAGGTGGTGGTCCCAGAGGCCGCGTGTATCCTCCCCACTTCCAGTCCCAGGAGGCCGCTCCGGTTAGGAGCCGGGAACGGAGCGAGCCGGGAGCGACCGAAGCGGTCCGGGTCCCGGAGAGAAGGGGAAGGAGGCGGCGGCAGCCCGGTCTCCTCCAGCCGTCGCCCCCCAGAGAGTCCCGGCCGCTGTCCCCGCCTGACAACCCGCACGGGAAGGAAGAAGCCCCGGGACTCACGTCGCTCTCCACCTCGATGTCATCGTTATCGCTCATTTCCTACGGCCCAGGAAGCGGCCACTGCAGCGGCGGCAGGGAAAGGGGAGGGGTGAAGGGGAGGGGGAAGTCACCGACAACAACAAGCCGAGTCCCCCCCACACACACACTCACTCACTCACTCACTCACTCACTCACTCACTCACTCGCTCACTCGCTCACTCGCTCTCTCACACACACAACACGGACGAGAACCACCTCCTCACTGCAGCACCGGATCAACGGCGGCACGCACGCCCGGTCGGCCCCCTACCACGTGACGACTCGTCACGCTGAGGCCGCCGAGACTTGTAGTTCTCATTCCTTCGACTGACGGCCCAGCTGATCCCAGAAAGACTACAAATCCCATCGGGAACTTCAATCAGTCGCCGCCAGCCCGGCTTGTTGACGAAGCCCAGAGCGCCTGCGTGTCCCGTGGAGGGGGGAGGGGGGGCGGAGAGAGAAGAGCGCGATGCCTGCTGGGAGTCGTAGTCCACAGACCGCGAGTTGTCAGGAGGTTTTCCTCCCGAGGCAGCAGAGGAGGCTTCTGGGAAGAGAGGACACGTGGAGTGAGCTGGGGCTCTGGGAGCAGGGCACCGTCTGAGCGCCGGGCCCAGGGAACAGGGTGGAAGCCTTGGGAGAGTATCCGACCGCCTAAATAACTCTGCTTCTCCTTGGTGCGCCTGGTTTTACTTTGTCCACTTTATTCCCAAATTTCCCCGCTTTGCGACCTGGTGCGTAATCCGCCCACAGGGGAATCCTGTGACTGCGGATTAGGGGGCGCGGCTCGGGATGCCCACGCGGACCTATGGGATTATGTTGTGAGAAGGTCGCAATTGCAGGTGTTAAGTGATTTACAAAAACCGCCTCTCTGGGACCGCTCCCAGACGCAAGACTCTTGTATTCATACACCCGTGAGTGACGTACGTGAACGTGAGGCTTTACTTTCACAGATCCCTCCCTTACCTCAACAAACCCTTACGTGGAAGTAAAAGCCCGTTTTGAATTTGTTGTAGCTCAGGCAGTTTACGGAGCGCCCCAGTTCAAAGTGCCAATAATTAACTGCAAAAGGGATCAAAACGGGAAACTTGTTACAGCCCCCTACACAGTTAAAATCATATGTAAATACTGTGAGATGAGATGTGATCACATCCATTCCACAAGTATTTATTGAGCACCTAACGTGCTAGCACGAGAATGCTATAATGTACAAGACCTGAACGGTCCCTGCCTTCAAGCAGCTCACAGTTGTGGAAGGAAAAATGAAACTGCCCTGCTGGCATTCTAAGAGTGTACAAGTCGCACAAGAAAAACAAAACAAAACAACACAAAGACAACGTCCACCCTGAAATAAAGTGACACAACTACTTTTACATCTGGTCTCAAAATGAATGAAATCTTGAGCTTTCCCCATAAACTACTGATTCCCTAATGAAAACCATTTTATCTTTTGACTTTTGAATGCAGAAATCTGGGGATATGTCACCGCCTTTGTGACAGTATCTCCCCACGTGAGCAATCATCCATGCTGGAAGAAGACACATGTAAACGTGGTAAATCTTTTCTTTACATTTTTTTCTTTTAATACCTGTTTTGTTTCTTATTCAGTGATCCTGTTCAACTGAAGTCTGCATGTCTTTACAGGAAAACCTCTTTTCTAAATGCTCTTTTGTCTAAGTCTGCCTTACACACCACCTAAGAGGGAGAGACATATGTAGCAGACCATTATGTCATGAGTTGATGGGCTATGAGAGATATCTGGATGTTAAACGCTCTTGAGTGAGTTAATTAACTTTATATTGGAAGCTAGGGCTAATTGATCGTTATAACAAATAATCACTGGGCGCCTGCTATGCACAAAGCACTGTAGAGTAGTGGTTCTCAACCCTAGCCATAAGTGAAAATCACTTCAGGGAGCTTAGAAAAACCCCAATGCCCAGGCCACACCCCAAAATAATTAAGTCAGAATCTTTGGGGGTGAGAGCCAGGCAGCAGTATCTTTTCAACTCTCCAGGTGATTCCAGTGTGCATCCAAGATTGAGAACCATTTCTATAGCACATGCCAAGATAAATAAGATGGTCTTCCATTGAATTGTGTACTTTAAAAGAGTGAATTTTATGGTATGTAAATTATATCTCAATAAAGCTGCCAAGAGACAGTCCTTCGAACAGAACAAAGGGATACTGCGTGGTTTAAAGTCAGGAAAGGTGTGCGTCAGGGTTTCATCCTTTCACCATATTTATTCAATTTGTATGCTGAGCATATAATCCAAGAAGCTGGACTAGATGAAGAAGAATGGGGCATCAAGACTGGAGGAGAGGTGGGGCCAAGATGGCGGAGTAGTAAGACGCTTCCGGGGGACCCTCTTACAACAAAGACCCGAAAAAACAAGTGATTTGGTTATATATTGGCAGTCTGGGAGCCCTGAACATCAAAGGCAGAGTTGACGAATCGGACTGAGTGGCAGGCAGAAGGAGAGACGGTTCGGAAGCAGCGAGGAGTTGCCAGACCTGACCCAGAGAGAGCCTGAACCCTTCAGGCCTGATCAGCTCGGGGGTGAGCAGTAAGGCAAGCAAGAGGTGGTCCTCGGGAGGCGGGTTTTCAGCACCAGGAGAAACCCAGAGCCACAGAGTCTACACAGCCACTCAGAACCAGTAAGAAGCAGCCCTCATCGGTGAAAGATAAGTAATTGTGTACGGCCTACTGCGCGGATCAAAAACACCCCCCTTAGGGAGAAACCTCTCTCCCATTTACGTCCCCACTCCCTGCTCTGCACTGGGTCCCGAACTGACTTCAGCAATTGCTGAGTACCTTGGGCCAAGGTAGGATCCGTCACACACCCGGAGCCATTCTCCCTGCCTTGGAGAGTGAACAAATTAACAAACAGGAAAAAATAAAATGCCAGCTCCCCTAAGCCAGGAACCGAGGGTAGGCACAGCTCCTTTGCCTAGGCACAGGCATAAGGGATCCATGGACTTTGAGTGCCTTTCCCCCTGCATAGACTCATGTGGGCCCATCTCAACAGCGTAGGCCCTCATTACCACAGTACAACAGGGTATATACCGGAAGTCTAACTTCAGCTGTTTCAGTTGTGAAGTGGCAGGTTCTTGACATTTGACACTGCTCTGCCCATTAAGCAGGGTCTTCACCTACCCACATCAGGGGCCTGAGGACTGGTGGCTCCACCCACACCACCTAGCTACTTGCAATAGGGGCCCATGAA